CCRCAAGCTTGCTGGCGCAGATCMCTYGCGRCCTCCTGSCAGTTCATGGCAAAAGGAGAATCGTACTGCAGGTACYGGGCTTTGGAGGCCCGGTACCGCCGAGCTCAGTACCCAGACGTGGTGATCCCAGACTAGACCCAAGGCGATCTCYGAATCATGCAGCAAAAGGAAACGTGCCCGCACAAAACAAGGTTGTAMAGTGCACCAACGGAWGCCGAGTAYCGTCCCSGATAAATTGTGCCAATGTAGGGGTYATCCCAATCTGGATAGGGWAACGAATCACGGAGATGGYTTCGATCCTGCAATATTYGCCGYGCCGGTACCATACTTGAAATATTCCGCCTTGACCYCTGAAGTTAATCATCGCGAYGRCGCCGACCCTGTAACAGACTGCCATAGTGATCCGATCCTGTYAATAAACCACCATAGAKTACCCGAACCTGAAATAASCCSCTGAGGTTGCTCCGAACCTGATATTAAGTYATGYCGATGTGTCTGAACCAGAAAATGAKCCAYYGYCGTAGTCGTATACCCGAAAGTAAGTCACCGTAGTGGCCCTTAACCCTGAAGCAAGGTGTCGCCGAGCCCATACCGAACATGAAACATGTCGGATACCGTAGGTCATACCCATTCCGTAACAATACCGAGCCTCTCTGTTCCACATATCCGTGCCGTGCCAGATGCCATACTGTCGTCCCAAGGTTGCACCACCCCATGCTGTCCATGCGACTCCCGCTCTCAGAACACCCCAACTGCGGTAATGTTAGTATTCAAGCAAATCAGGGAAAATGGCGTAGGGAAAATCGACTTTCAGCAGTTGTGTAAACCGTTGGAATTCAGGAAAAATTATCAATCTGGGGTCAGAGCTGACGGCGGCGGATCGAGGTGAAATTTAACGAATCTCCCAATAGCCTTCGGTTTCCATCCCTTTCATTGTTTTTTAATCATTCTTCCTTTTTCTTAATTCTATTGCCGAAAATAGTAAATTACCCGTAAATTCCCCAAAATTAAATTCCGAGAAAGTTTAAATAAATAGCCGAATTTCCTTTGTTCCTTTCCTCTTTTACCATTTTTAATTTTTTTCTGTGTTTTTAATTTTATTTCATGAGAACATAGAATAACAAGGGTATTCCCCCTAGAATTAAATGCCGTGATAAATAAAAAAATTAAGGGATATTATGTTTTTCTCTTCTCCCCTACTGGTCTTAATCCCTTTTCCCCATCTTTAATTATGGCACTAAAACGTTGCGGCGAGGCCAGTTTCCGCGACGCCTCTCCCCGACAGGCCAACCTGGGTCTAACCCTCTGAATGGCCGGAAATAACGGTCCCTAGATATGCCGAGTGCGGCCTCCCATCCCGCCATCTTTGAGGGTTACTCGTAAGGTCCTGTGTGCTCAAAATCTGGGGTGTCCTGAGTTCCCCAAAATTTGCTGCCTGGTCAACCCGGAGTACCGTCAAAACGCGGACTTGTCCTTGAGCCTAAGACCCAAAACCGCAGATTTCAGGCGGCGCACTGTTTGTGGCCGCCTGACAGTTAGCCCGGACCACTTCTCGACGCCCCCGTCGAGCCCTAACCTCTCACATCAAAGGAAGCGGACGAGTTTCAGGGTGATTGTCTGTAAAGGACGCCCACGTCGGCATTTAATTGTCTTAAGTTTTGGTTTGGTATGATTCATGGGGCTAAGAAAATGCTTCTTGCGTTCCTGTTTCTTCAGGTTTTTGGCCTCGGCACGATTCTCTTTTTCTTTTGTCTTGGCCCCGAGAAGGGTATTGTCCCGCCAGTTTGTCTAACGCGAACTCTCCGTCTAGCCCTCTTGAGCACGAATAACCATTTGTTCTCTCTTCCTAAAGCTAACCCTTTGACCTTTCTTTTCTCTATTTTTTTCCTCTTCTTGGAACTTTCCCCTGCCTCGAATCGCCTCAAGGGGGCTCCATCCTCCATTTTGGTTTTTCCTTTCCCTTTCGGGCTTGTCAGCGATAAGGTGGGTGCGGGTCTGGGTCTAAACAGCTTCAACCTTGCACCCGCCACTGGGTCCTTCCACTTGGATCCGTCTAATTCTGCTATCATATATGCACCCTTTGTTGAGTGCCTCAACCACTCTGTAAGGTCTCATCCATCTGTTTGCGAGTTTTCCGGTCCAGGTCCTCTCCAGTGCTCCGTCGTAGAGAAGGACCATATCTTCTACGCTCACCCTCTCTTTCTTGATCCGCACGTTCTTATCCCATCTCTCTTTACCTTTGTCCCTCTCCACTGCCAGACGATCTGCCGCTGTCATAAGGTTGTCTTCCAAACCGTAGGCTATCTGTCTTGTTCGGGCAACTATGAGTTCCTCTCTAGACATCTCCTCCGCCCAGTCGATGGTTGTCAAACTGTCGATGTGAAACTCTATGGGAAGCGGGCAATGCCGCCCAAACCACAAGGTGTATGATGGGTATCTAGTGCTAGCCCGGACCGTAACGTTGTCCGCCCATATCGCGTATCGAAAATATCGTGGCCAATCACTGTCCTTACCTTTGCACCACTTGGATAGTGACGCTATCACAGTCTGATGCCTCCTCTCTACTGGGGAGTTCGACTGTGGGTGGTAGGCGGTGGCTATCGAAACTCTTGCCCCGGCTCTCTTGAACACACTCTGAACCTCGTCAACTAGAAACTCCGCCCCTCTGTCCATCACTATCTTGCTGATGCAACCATACCTAGATAAGTATTCCAGGACGAAGTTCTTCACCTCCCTTTCCGTCTTACTCCTGATAGGTCTACCGTCCACGAATTCAGTGAAATCGTCTCGTATGTTCACGACGTAGTTCATATTGCCTACCCCTTTCGCCATCTTCACCAGATCGATGCGCACCTTCTTTCCCAGCCTGGTTGGATAAGATGGATGAAGCGGCTCTTTCTATTTCACAAGAACTCTCTTCTGACACTCCTCGCAGGTCATGCAGTATCTTTCGACGTCCTTATATTGTCCTTCCCACTAGTACAGCCTGCGTACCTTTTCGTAGGTCCCTTTCACTCCTCTATGTCCTCCGACTACCCCGTCGTGAAGCTCCGCAACTATCGTATGTCTCTCCTCGGGATCACAGACTACTCGTAAGGGCATTCCCGACTCGACTGGCCTCCGGAAAAGATGGCCCGCTCTAAGGCAGTACTAGGCCTCTTGTCTCCGGATGTCTGAATCTTGACTCTCCTCTCCTGACAAATGTAGCCCGATCGTTCGGTATTTGTCGTCGTAGAGGTTAACCAGAAATCGTTCGGCGCGTCCCGGCTCTGTCAATGTTAGGGCTCCAGCTACTATCGGGCGCTCGCCTCAAGAGGGATGCGTGAAAGCCCATTTGCCACAACATTTTTAGTGCTAGATATCCTCTCAACTGTGTAATCATTTAGCCGAATTCGTATTAACCATCGAGCGATGGTCGGGTCCGTCAGACTAAAGTCCTTCTGGAGGACAGAGGCAACCGCGGTGGGATCTACTCTCAAGATGAACCGACGCCCATACATATAGTGTCTGAACGTATCTAGAGACCGCAGAACAGCTAACACTTCCTTCTTGAATTGACTGTAATTGCGCTCAGTTGTATTAAGTGTTCTACTCTCAAATCTTAATGGTCTTTCCTTCCCTTCAGCGTCCTTCCGAGATAGCAGTCCTCCAACTGAACAAGGTCCAGCATCCGTGGATACTATGAAGGGTCTCTCGGCCTCATCGTCAAAGAATGGCACGCCCAGTACGTGTCCTCCCTCCTCAAATTCATCTTTAAGCTCTTGCATGGCGAGTTCCTGTGAAGAATCCCAGTAAAATTTCTCAGTCTTCTGAAGGAGTAGCCTCAATGGCTCAGCCTTCTCCGCATATCTCCGTATGAAAATCCGTCAGTAGCCGACCACCCCCAGAAACTGCCGAACCTCGGTAGCACTATGCAACGGCGACGGCCAGTTTAGAAGTTTGTTTAGCTTTGCAGGATCCGCTCGGCGTCCTCTCGAGTCGCAAATAAAGCCTAAGATCTTTATAGTCGAGACGGCCCATCGGCTCTTTGTCCCGCTGACCATCAAATTCGCATCATCCAGCTGCTCAAGTACCGCGGATATATCTGTTAGGTGCTGCTCGACGAATTTTCAACTCCTTCTTTACTAGCCCTTTAATAGAAAAATCGTCCACAAAAACTTGAACTTTATCAGAGATGAAGTCCTTAAGGACGGCTCCTCTACAGTAGACGCAAGAGTTCCTGGGAGTGGGTGGTCTGTCGTCTGTGCCTCTAGAGGTCGAACCTCTCGCTGCTCTGGGGTCAGGGGACTTCAAATACGGATCAGACGACGCGCCATATCCCCCTCTCTCATTCCTGCCGCGCAAATCATTGCGGTGGTCCCCATGTTGGTATCGCCCGAGTGAATCATCGCGTTGATCTCCTCGGTCGTATCGCCCGCGTGAATCATCGAGCCGATCTCGTCGGTCGTATCGTCCGCGTGAATCATCGCGTTGATCTCCTCGGTCGTATCATCCGCGTGAATCATCGCGTCGATCTCCTCAGTCGTATCGCCCGCGTGAATCATCGCGCCGATCTCCTCGGTCGTATCGCCCGCGCGTATCATCGGGTCGATCTCCTCTTTCGTATTTGTCACTCTTGTATCCGTCTCGATCCGTCCTCTCATATCTGTCGTCCTTATGTCCATCTCAGTCTGATCTCTCATATCTTTCATCCCTGTATCCGTCTCGCCGACCCTGATCCGACTCCCACCGGCCTCGAGAGTCGCCTCCACCCCCGTCAGGCTCATAGCGAGGGCTACGTGAGTAATCATCAAGCCTCCTAGCTCATCCATACGTCTCGCGAGTTCTCCGGTCCCGGTCTATCTCATCATCCCTGCGTCGCCATGGCTCATCGTCTCTCTCCCTTTCCCTCACACGATAATCAGTCAGCGTTCGAGGATTTCTATCCTCGACACTTTTCCAGGAATCAGTGTTCCTCCGGTCCCAGCGAAGTGAATAGGGTCCTTCGGGCTTGTCCCGGTATATCGTGGCTCCTGTGGTGGTCACAATCTTTGTAACCTGTCTTGCCAATCTCTTTACCATGTCCCTTATCTCCTTCACTTCCTCCGCCACGGCCTCGTTCTTCTCCGACCAGGGATAGTCCTTGAAATCAGGACATCTATCAGTGGCATATTCCTTATAGAGAGAGAAGTCACGTCTTATCATCCCTCTTTACACCAAGTCCTTGTAGTCGTCTGCTTCTGCCTTTATCGCGAGCTTTAGGACTTCTGGGAAGTCAAGCTTGTCGCGCGGAAGATGTCTAAGTATACTCTTCTGTCTACCTTTGGACAGGTGTCCAATGAAGATAGTACAGCGCTCGACCTCTGAGATCTTCCCCTTCTTCATTAGCACGTCGGAGATCTTCTCGAAACGCATTCCAAATGCCCGTACGCTCTCATCTTCATCTTGAGTCATCGTCTCAAGATCCTTGATGGAGTACTTGTTATCCTCCAATGTGTAAAGCTCAACGAGGTTCTTTTTGTACGTAGTCCATTTCTCATCCTTTCGTCGGGCTTCCTTAACTTCCTTGCCGAGGGTTTGATCCACATTAAATAGGAGGTTCTCTATAATCTCTTCCTCCGACCACTTACTCCGGCTGGCATGAAGTTCCCACTTGTCCAGATATTCTGTAATGCCATAGCCCCTGAAAGTAGGAGGCTCTGAGGCCTTGTGCGTAATAATATAGCGATCCTTGCTCTCGTAAGGGAGCGGGTGTGATTCCCCCGTTTGGGGGTCGAAGACACGTCGCGGCGGTGCTCTATCTGTATCTCTGTCCCTCCAATAGATCCTTGAACTCTCTCGCCAGTCGTCCCTGTGCCTATCCGCCATGGTTTCCCTCCGCTCATACTCGGGGGAGCGCCGTCTTGTCGCTTCTCGTCGACCGCTCGAGGTTCCTGTCTTCAAAGTCTCCTGCGGCTCTGTCACGACCGGCTCGCCCATTACGTCGGGCTCTCCGTCATGGGTTTGGTCGGCCCATCTCAGCGGTGCTCCCTGCCTAATTCGTTCCTTCAGATCCCTCAGAGCTCGGTCGGGCGATGTCATGTACTCCTCCCTCGCTTCGCCCGTGGTCGGTTGTGGCCCCATCGTGTCTGGTTACATAGGCCACCAGAAGACGCGGTTAGATACCCTCGTCGGGCGTTACAGCCCGGATCTATGACAGTTGCTGCAGCCCGGACCTGTGACAGAACTCGCAGCCCGGACCAGTTTCCTTGTCACAGTTCGCGTCCGCCTCCAATCCTAGCTCTCGACTGTCCCGATTACCACCACCACTACTCCATTCCAGTCGCGGATCTCGTGCTCTCTCTCTATCCCTAGAATCTCTGTGTCTAGGTAAACCTCTCCTTCGGGATTGGCCAACAAGGCCGCGCCTCTCCGGATCTGCAGTACACCCGTGACAGGATCTCTACACCTGCAGCAGATCGCGGTCCCAAGCCTAACCAATGTCTCTTGATCAGCACCCCTCAAGAGCCCCCGAGCGTCTATCTCCGTCCTCCTTGCTAGGTCTCCCAGCCCGTTCTGAATCGGGTAGCCCGCTGAAGGTGGAAGCTCTCCTCCTACTGCCATCCAAAGTCGCTCGCCGACCTTTCTGACCTCCTCTATCTTTCCAAGAGCTTCCAATCTCTATTTCTCCTCCTTTAACTCCCAGACGACTATGAGGTCATCTGTCTAGCACCTGAGGTAAGTCAATGCTATAACCACTCGTAACCTCATTGCCGACAGCTCCAAAATGTCATAAAATGTCTCAAAATCCTCCTCATCTCCACTATCCTCTATGGCCTCTAAAGTCTTTATCGACTCCCTCCAGTACCGATCGTGAGCGGCTAGCACCCTGAGTATTGCACCGTCTGTTACAACTCTCCCTAGCTCTCCAACTTTCCTGGCTTCGCTTATCTTCAACCTCTCAGCCTCCCTGGTCGTCTCGTACTATGCCCTTATCCGAGACCGCCCTTCGTAAGGTGTCACTCGGAGTACGTATTTAATCCTTCGTCCTCCTTCTAATCCAATCCGAAGTTCTGTCCCCCTAGCCTCACGCAGTGCACGGCGGACACACTCTGCCTCCTCAACTATGCACAGTCTGGTAAGGAGCTGGAGCTCTACGAATATTAACACCAATGGTCCGTCCAGTCTCCCTACCACATGCAATGAGTACCGATTCGTCGTGTGTAGTGTAGTCCCGCTCATGTCCTGTCACTACCTCCCTATGTTACCTTATCCTCCGTTGTCACGCCCTCTGCAGACCTCTCCCTAGTTCCTTCGCGTGATACGCTCCTAGCTCTTACCCTCTCCAGAAAGTCTGATCTCCACGCCTGGATAATCTCTCTTTCCTCCCTAAACAAACTTTCTAACTCTCTCGTCACAAGCTCAGCCCTATGCAACTTGCCCTCATCCTGGCACGACCAGATCTCCCTTAACTTGTTCCCCAACTCCTTTACCTGGTTCAAGAGTGGTTCTTTAATGCGTTGTCGGACAAAATACCCTTACAAGGGTATTTTGCCATGTCTTTGCATCGGCACGATGGCGTCGTCAGCTACCGTGACGTAGCCAGTCTGGAAACAAGAGGGGTGTGCACGCTTGTCGTGACACTGGAAGCGAAATCCTCGACCACTGAGGCCGGGGAAAAAAAAAAAAAAGGTAAGAAAATTTCGTTAAGGATGCACGCGCGTTATTATGACGCGCTCCGTGGTGATTAGGATCAGTAGTAATACCCCTCGACAGAAAAGGTCAAAGGGTCAGTTGGGCTGATGATTGTGTCAGGTAGGTCTATAACATGCACTGAGACTTGGTCCAGGGCCTGTCTTCCCTTCGGTGCTAGGGGTTCTAAAAATTTCAGTCTTTGTCTTCCCCTACTCAGCCTCCAAGTCAAGTACGCCGCGTCTACCTCTATATAATGAGGTACCAGCCTACCCGCCACTTGAGTAATTACCCCACTGCGACCCTTGATGCCGCAGCCACGGCTAAGTACCGACTTTGGCCCTTCCGATCAACTACGTATCTTGAGAGGCACGCGCCCTCAAGCAGACGTGCGCCCAAACCGGTGTGCAGACCGGCAAGCATGCACCTACACAGACTTAGAATTGGGCTTGGGCCACTAGGCGGACCGAGCCCGAATCCTCTACTTATACCAGGACTACTCTTATATTGCTTAAAACAGGAGCTAGCCGAATAGGTTTTGGCATGGGCTTAATGAATGATAGACTAAAAGATCAAATCTGCCTGTCTGTGGGTTAGCTCCTTTTGACAAGGAGCCCCGTAGCATTTCACCCCTGTTTCTGGCAGCCGGGACTCGAACCCGTGACCTCGAAAGTGGGGTTAGCCACGGTTAGACCCCGTTGTGACAGTTGCCACGACGGGGTAGTTAACAGTAGGATTTTCTTTTACTTTTTTTTATTTTTTATGGTTAGATTCGATTTTATTTTATTAAAGTTTTATCATTTCATTATTATTATTATTCTTTTTTTCTTTTTTTTTTCTTACTTTCTCTAATCCCGTAACTACCCTCCCTAAATTCACTTCAGCGAATCTGCACTGGATAGACGAGCAGATTCGTTCCACGAAAATCTGCTCGATTCCGACGCAGGAGTCCGAGGTCCTGACCCGTGCGTTTGGGCTGAGTGCTCATTGAGCGACCGACGAGATATCGCATGGGGAGAAGTGGTAACGCGAAGAAGAAGAAGAAAAGGAAAGGAAGAAGAAGAAGAAGAAGAAGAAGAAGAAGAAGAAGAAGGAGGAGGAGAGAAGAAGTAGAAGAATGAGGGAGGAGTTGCGCAGGAGGAGGAAAGGTGACCGCGCCGTACAAGGAATCGCGCGGGGAGGATGCGCAAGCGTGCGCGGTAGAAGGAGGCGCGGGGAGGATGAGCAGCGTGCAGGAGTGCGCGCACAAAGATCGAGCGAGCGCGGGGGTAGCACACGCGCAACCGACAGGGGAAAGCACGGTGGGAGCAAACGAAGAGACCGCGCGGAGGGAGAGAGGGACTCGCGATCTGGAGATAGCAACGAAAGAGGAGAAAAGCGGCATAACATAGGGAAAGGAAAGTAGAAGGAAGGAAATAGAGTAGAGGGAAGAAGAGGAAGGAGGAAGAGGAAGGAGAAGAGAGAGAAGAAGAAGAAGAAGAAGAAGAAGAAGAAGAGAAGAAAGAAGGAGAGAAGGGGCAGGGAACGTGCGTGGAGGTAGAGCGAGCGGAGGAAGGCCACCGCGACGGGATAGATCGTTGTAATTATCGATCTTGAATGAGGAATGCCTACTAAGCGCGAGTCATCAGCTCGCGCTGATTATGTCCCTGCCCTTCGTACGCGCCCCGTCGCTCCTACTGATTGAGTGGACCGGTGAAGTGTCTGGATTGCGGTGATCTCGGCGGCTTGGCGCTGGGAGTGCTATGAAAGGTTCATTGAACCTTATCACGAAGGGGGAGAAAGAGAGAGACGAAGGGCGACACCCGATGTCCGCCTGGCTCGCAAGCTTGTGCCCGTAGTGTCCCGTGCCGTGGTCGTGGTATGCTGCACACCGGACGGATCTTCGTGAAGAATCGGGGAGGGCGATGCACCTGCGATGACGGCTGACGACGACGACGGGCTGACGACGACAACGGGAAGAAAGGGAAGAGGTAAGTTTTCGATCTTGCAGCTTACCTCCTGGTACACCGATAGGATGGATCAAATATAATAAATAAATAAACATAAATAAATAAATAAATAAAAATAAGTAGAATGAATCTACCGCTAGAGGGTGGACATATTCACAACTCCATACACGTGTATGTGTGTGTGTGTGTGTGTGAGTGAGTATGTATGAGAGTGAGAGAGAGGAGACGATAAGTCTCCAACCTTGGTCAGCAACTCTTCGACCCAGGGCTCGCCGCACGCAACTTGGATCGAGAGAATGAGCAAATCAAAGAAGGGAAGTGTATATTTCCATGTTTCAGCGGAAGATTCGTTCCGTTTTTGCTCATCCTATCGATGGAATGTGTGTGTGTGTGTGTGTGTGTGTGTGTGTGTGTGTGTGTGTGTGTATGAGTGCGTGCATGTACTCCGATCGCGCGGAGGACCTCCATCTGACTCCATCGATAGGATGAATCCACCGTTAGAACATGGAAATATACATTACCATACGAATGAACCTACCGCTAAAACGGGGGAAAGTGCATTACTGTATGTATGTGTGTGTGTGTGTGTGTGTGTGTGAGAGAGAGAGAAGGTACTATGATCGATTCGTGAGAAACGTACCTGGCAATGGGAAGTCTCCGAGGCCGCGGCTGGCTTCGCGCAGCCTCCATCAGATGGATGAGCAGAATCGATCGGATCTCCCGCCAGAAAACGTCGACTTATGCATTACTATACATACGCGTGTGTGTGTATGTGTGTGTGTGTGAGAGAGTGAGAGGGAGACTATAAGTCTCCAACCCGAGCCTCGCTGCACGTCACTTGGATCAATAGAACGAGCAAATCAAGAAGTGACAGTGTATATTTCCCCGTTTCAGCAGAAGATTCATTCTGTTTTTGCTCGTTCTATCGATGGAATGTGAGTGTGTGAGACGTTCATGATTCGACCAAAGAGAGAGAGAGAGAGAGAGAGAGAGAGAGAGAGAGAAGGACTACTTCAATCGGCTCGTTGAGCAACGTGCCTGGGCGACGGGTGAGTCTCCGAGGCCGCGGCTGGCTTCGCGCAGCCTCCATCGAAAGATGAGCAAAGTCGATCGATTCTCCCACTGCAATCCACTACTACGCATGTGTGTGTGTGTGTGTGTGTGTGTGTGTGTGTGTGTGTGTGAGAGTGTGTGTCTGTGAAAGTAAGAGAGAGGAAGGGTGGAGGAGCCAAGAGAATAGAATAGAGAAGGCTCAATGCTAAAATTGAATGAACCCGGTCGGTGGAGAGGGCACAGAGAAGAAAGAGGAGGCAGAAGGGGAAGAAGAGTGCCGCTATAGAAGAGTGGATTACCGCGTGAGTGAGGCGACCGGTGAAGGAACGGGGAGCAGAGGAGATAGCATGCGGGGAGCAGCGGAGA